TCTATTTTTAAACTTCTATTTAAGTTCTTAGAGAATATATATAATATATTATTAGTTTTCTTCTAATACTATTTATTTCTTCTTCTTATTACTAATTTCTAGTATCTTATAGAATTTTAATATAGGTTTTCTAGAAAATATAAATACTATAGTAACTATATAGTTTTCTTTCTAAATAGCTTTTCTAATTATTCTAAGTATTTTAATTTTAATTTTCCTAGTTACTTCTAATTATTTCTTACTTTCTTTAGTAGGTTTCTAGTTCTTTTACTTTTTAGATTTTAGATATTAAAATAAAATATATCTAACTTTATTATAGTTATAATACTTATATTTTTCTATAGCTTCTAGCTCTATAGAATCTATATATATTCCAGAGACTATAGATTATTATTATTATTATAATTAACTAGTATTAGTATAGTAGATTATCTTTTTACTATAGGTTTACTAATAATACTATTAGTTATTAATTCTTATAGTTATAGTTATATATTTATAAATACTTACTAGTTTATTTTTCTTATAAAGTTCCTTCTAGATTTCTTTCTTTAATCTATTAAAATAGTAAGATATAGTATATTCCTAGTTCTATCTAGTTTTTACTAAAAGCTAGAGATACTTACTACTAAAGATAGAGATAGATCTAATCTAAGAGAGTTTATTAATTTTATATTTAGCTTTATATCTCTTATTCTAAATTCTAAAAGTTTATTAAAGAATTTCTATAAAGTAATTAAAACTTATTATAATATTAATAGTTTATTAACTTTCTTAACTATTAAGATATTTCTTTATAATAGATTTAAACTAATTAAATATAGTTCTCTTAAGTTATAAATAAGTATATATAACTTATTATTTACTACTATTAAAGATAATAAGAAAGTAATTAAAGTATATTTAAAGTTAAGTTATAAAGTCTTAAAGTTTATTTTAGATTCTATTAAATATCTTAAGTAATAGTAGCTTAAGTAGTATTCCTAGTTCTCTTTCTTAGACTATAGCCTAAGCCTAAGTTTAAAGATTAATATTCTGAGCTACTTATTAAGCTATAAGATTAGTTATATTAGCTAATTCCTACTATATAGTTATAAGATATCCCTAGAGTTATAAGATTTATCCCTCTAAGAGTTTAATCTAAGCTTAATTATTATCTTTACTACTACTACTACTACTATTATTCTTATCTATAGTATTATTAATATTTAGAGCAGGTAGATTATTAATAATAGGATATTATTACTAGACTAATAGAACTATAGTAGTTATAATATCTTCTTTATTATTATATAATAATTAAGATAAGATAATTAGCTGAATAAGAGTTATTAATATATAATAATTAGATAACTTATACTAGATAGGGTTTAGAATAGATTAGAATTAAACTAATTAGAGTATTATTCTAAATAGTATAATTAGATTATCTTAAGTTATATAATATAAGTTACTATTAATATATAAGTATTATAGAGCTAGTAATAATAGATATATAGATAATTATATTAATAACTATCTAAGAGAGTATTCTATCTTAGTAAAATAAATATATATATATACTAGGGAATTATTAATACTTAGTAATAATCTATTATTCTAAATTATTAGAATTATTATAAGATCCTAATAATCTACTAGTAATTAGTTAGAAAAAGTAGAGTAATCTATATAACTTTAATATATAATAATATAATTTATAATAAAACTATATATAAACTCTATAAAATCTATCTTAAAGCAGCTTTTTAGCTACTTTAGTACCTAAAAGATACTAAAAGTCTAGCTATAGTCTATTTATTAAATAAGCCTCTAGAAAGCTATTATAATAGTAATTTTACAGGGGATAACTCTACTAGTAAATCTATCTATAGATATCTCTTTAAGCTAGCTAGAGGCCCTATTAACTAGAAGGCTAAGAAAGTAATTACTATAGCTCTCTTTACTATAGAGACTGAAGTAGATAGCCTTACAGAGGCTCTCAGAGAGCTATAGTAGTTAAAAGAGCTCTATAAAGAGCTAAACCAGCCTCTGAAAACCCCTGTAACTATTTACTATAATAATCAGGATTATATAGCTACTAGTAATAACCCTATTCTATATATTAAAACTAAGTATATACTATTAAAGTTCTACTATAATAGGGTTTAAATTATAGAGGGTTTAATAAGCTTTAGCTATCTGGAAACTAAGGCTATATCTACTGATAGACTAACTAAATTACTAATAATATCTCTTTAGTAAGTCTTTAGAGATCTACTAGGTCTAAAAGAATACTATAAGGATCTAATTTAATTATTTTCTTTAGAAGGGGTATTAAGATTTACCCTATAAACTATAGGGTAGATCTAGATTATTCTATATTAATTAATTAAATAATCTTAGATTAGTATAGGGTAAGAAGGAATAAAATAACTAACTTAGAGCTCTCTAAAGCTAGAAGCTCTCTAAAGCTATTAACCTAACTTACTATAGCTATCTATTAGAGTAATTATATTAATAGTTATAACTACTATAATAGCTACTATAGTATCCTTATTAGTAATTCTATATTATACTAAAGCAGCTGTATTAGCAGACTTTATATCTACTATAGTACTTATATTAGCAGATCTTATATCTACTATATAAGAACCTTAGTACTTAGTTTAATAAACCTTATAATTACTATAGTAGCTGTATTAGCAGACTTTATATCCGCTATAGTACCTGTATTAGTAGTTTTATATCTCTCTATATAAGAATCTTATAGTAGTTATAAGCCTGTATTACAGAAGGTAATATATTATCTTCAGGGTCTTTATAGTTTAGAAATATCTATAAGTACAGAGCTTCCTCCCTACTAGATAGAGATTCTATAAGTTATTAATATACTCTTTTATCTATCCTACAGTCTATCTTTCTTAGCTACCCTGTAGCTAATAGAGCTTTATTTTCTCTTATAGAGCCTGCACCTTCTACTATATCTTTTTAAATAATCCCTCTCTAGTATTTCAGAGCCTACCCTATAGGCTTTATCTACCCTAGGCCCAGCTTACCCTATAGCTGGTCTACCCTATACTAGAGACCTTAACCTTTTAAAAATATATAGTAGCTATCTAAATATATCTATATATTACTTCTATATATCTTTTTCTATTTTACTATTAAATAGCTAATTAGGTTTTTTTTCTAGAGTAGTTTAGACTATTTTAAATAATATAGTCTTAACTATCTTAGTAGCTATTATAATTACCTATACCTAGTTAAGTATATACTCTATTACTTTCTATACTAATTATAATACTATCTTCTTATTCTGAATATTCTACCTTATACTATAGAGCTTAGTAATAGAGAGCCTCTATAGATATATTATCTAGCTAATAAACTTAAGCTATCTATTAGATTTAAGCTAATTATCTCTAATTTAAATTATTATCTATATCTTATATATCTCTTTAGCTATCTTCTTTTTAAAGAGTTTCTATACTCTTTCTATAGCTAACTTAAATTATAAATAATTAATAGAACTAGTAATCTCTCTAGCTATACTAATTCTAAACTAGCTACTTATAGTCTTTTAAGAAAAGAACTACTAATAATATATACTACTTATTTATAGCTAGTTATAAACCTCTACTACTTTCTTCCTAATATTATTATCCTTCTTCTAGCTACTATTTTAATTATACTCTTTCTATAGATAAATAGTTCTATTATATTTAGTATAATACTATAGATTATATAATATTAAGATTAAATATATTAATAGAGTAGGTTTTAAAGATAGTAGATAGTATAGATAAGGATCTTAATAAAATCTAGTTTAATTAGACTTTTAGTTAAGATCTTACTAAGATACTAGATAAATAATATTCCTAGTAGGAATATTAGAAATATTAATTAAAAACTAGATAAATAGATATTTTTTATAGGGTAATCTAAATTTCTAACTAATAGATTAATAGACCCTTAGTAATAGATCCTACCCCCTATCTTTTACTAGTATAAAAATTTACTTACTAAATTTTAATAGATCCTACTAGGAACTGTTATGGAATTACTGATAGACCTAGTAGGGCAGAGACTGTCGAGATAATGGGAACGACGGCTAGAAAGGTGAAAGTGGGATGACGCATGTTTACTGAAATATACTGGTATCGCTCCCGATGGGCTAATATGTCTTGTGCTGGGTGTAGGGGATGAATGGCAGTCAGTGTGGTATGTATTTATGTACTTGTTGGTACTGACATGGCGTAGTGGAAGTTTTCATAAAGTCTTTTCTTGAATCTACGATACAGCAGATCTTCCTACGCCTGGACATCATCCGGGAGATCCGGCGTATAGCTTACGTATAGTCACAGCGTCAAACCGGTAGCAAAATACACACCGCAGACTTCCTGCAACCAACCCGCTTGAGCGTGTAAAGCAAGGAACCGGCCATGAGCTGAGCTATTACTTGATTGTTAATCCCTTTTGGTGTGTAAGTGGGCCCAGAAAAAATAGCACACGGCCAGTATCTGCCACATAAGGACAGAACAGCAGTGATCATATGAGGTGGCTTACTGCAAGCAAAGCGTCCAATTATTTCTGCCACCTGCCGAGGTGTGCTGGCCTTTGATTGGCAGGTTAAAGAAGTACCCAAGTACCGTACCCCGCCTTGCCCGCTCCATATTTACCCCACCTGTAAGTGGTAGGTCATCGTGAGGAATCAGGATTACTTACACTAATTAGTGCAGCGCTTAACCAGGATAGATCAAGCTATAATTAAGTAGTCTAAGAAGCAGACTGGATCAATCAGACAGTATAGATTATCCCTACAGTATATTTAAATAAACCTAAAATCTGCCTAGTAGTAATTAACTTCCCTCAACTTCCGAGACTCAGAAGTACTTAAAGGTAAGCTCAGCATAGCTTAGCGAAATTAACTCAGTTGTTTAACTGCAGTCACCCTGACCGACTCATTATTTCGAGTGAATCTATCCCTTTTCATATTTGATTTTTACAGTTAGTACGCAATGGCTCCAGCTATCCAGGGACGGAAGATCGCGATTACTGGCGCTAGCGGCCAGCTTGGGAAGCCAACTATCGACGCTCTCATCGCACTGGGCGTCCATACCATCACCGCTATTCAGCGACCCGAGGCTGACAGCACGTTTCCTGCTGGGGTTATTGTTAAAAGGGGCAACCTTGAGGATGAAGTTTTCCTCGCCGACGTGCTTAAAGGCCAAGATGCCCTAGTCCTATTGCCGCCCCTGGCTCAACTCGTTAAGCTTCAAGAGCCCGCGATCCGCGCGGCCTCCAGGGTTGGCGTACCCTACGTCTTTCCCTCTGAATTCGGACCCGACCCCTTTGCCAGCCGGCTTATAGAGGAGAATAAGCTGCTTATAGCGAAGAAAAGCATTCGTGATTTGATTGAAAATCTCGGTGTTAGCAGTTGGATATCTATCGCAATTGGCCCCTGGCTCGATGCAGGCCTTACTGCGGGCTTATGGGGTATCGACCCCAAGGCTCGCAAGGCAACCATCTGGCGAGGCGCCGATGCCAAGGCCAATACGGCGACTGTCGCACATACTGGTGAAGCAGTTGCTGCGGTGCTAAGCCTACCTGAGGATGATCTGGCCAAGTACAAAAACAAAGCTGTGTACACGTCGTCGTTCTACCTAACGCAGCGGGAGATCCTAGACGCTGTTCAGCGCGCAACAGGGACGACGGATGCGGACTGGGACATTACGTCGCGAGACGTGAATGAAGTGGCTAAGGAGTATGAGGAAAAGATTAGTCAGGGCGACGGTATGGCACCTTTCACCAAGTTCTTTGTTACACACTTCTTGGAGGGCCACGGCGGCGACTTCAACCACAAGGTTAATGCAGCGGAGTTGGAGAAACTTGAGCAGCTAGGACTTCACAAGGAGGACCTCGAGCAGGTCATCAAAGTGGCGCTGCAGTAAACTATATGGAACTCTTAAAGGAATAGTATTTTACTAATGCAACTCTTACTGGAGTTCTATTAGCTACACTCAAACAAATGCTTCTTTTTTTCTGTAAATTATGTGGTCCTGGATGTGACTCCATTTTCCGAATCATCTGTTTCCCAGTCAACGCCCCCCACCCCCCAAACAAAAACGAGGGTGACTGATCAGGTCTCATGATGTGTATACTTACTCCTCGGGCGGAATATGGCATAGATCAAGGTATTGTCACTAACGAGAGCCCTGATTGGCACGACTCCCTCGTCTTGACCAGCTTCGAGGCTTGTACGGAGTCTGCACTGCTGAGATTAATAACATATCAATCAGCAGTCTGGAAGTCTTATAGGAATGTCGACGATGGCGCTACTTTATTTCATCCCAACAAGACAGCTTCCATCCCCTCACCCCGTCGGTATCAGCGCGCTGAAACAGTCGTGTATCGACCATGACTCCAGGCACGATGAAGGCCCTTCTGCTAAACGCGGAGGACCAAACAGCGTCTGTACACACTATCCCCGCCCTATCCCACGGCATGGGGAAATTCTCATTCGCGTGAAGCCATTTGCGCTGAACCAAGTAGCCTTCCCTCGGCGCGACTGGGTGAACAGATATCTACACCTTGCTAGTTGATAAGAAAAACTTGTTAATCGTTGCGTCAATTTTTGTTCATTGCGTAAATGGCCGAGTTACACTATTGAGCTGTCATATTTCCATACAGTTGAGAGAACACTGTCTCTATCTTACTTCCATTAAGTCCTTCAAGTATTTTCCATTAGACAAACGGGCCGCTGCATCCACGCTCAAAGGCTGCAGTGGGAGTCTGGGTGTAGCAGGATACCCGAACTGCTGGTTAAGCAAATACTTTAAACCAGCCACCTTGAGTTAAATGTCAGCATGTTGTGCACGCGCCTGTCAGTATATTTCGATGAGCTAGAATGCTACTACTCACACCGCCACTTAATAGTTCCGCTTCGGCCAAGGAGGCTACCTCCTGGAGTCGCCTGGCTTTCGCCCAATCTGCAGCACTATCCAGGCTTTGTGTACTGCGCCACAACTCCATAGCAAATTCCTATACTTATGGTAAACAATTTTCCAATAACACCTTGCTGCAAATGTTGCTTACTGGTGCAAGGTTCGGTAAGGGGCTAATAGCACCGGCAGACCCAACCGAAATAGACGGAAGTAAGAAGTCGATAAACCCCGCGATTGTCTTGAAAGATCCATCGAGAAGGCTGGTAATCCTTGAGACTTTTCCAATATTACCACAGCTATAAGACATTATTAGCAACCTTAATAAGATTCGAAGGTTATAATCGCAACCTACGATAGCATAATGCCGCGTATATTTGGTGCAGCCCTTGCAATATCCACAATATCGTCACTGGTTAGATCGATACCGCCTGCAACTAACGGAAAGTTGTAGATAATCCTGATTTGTCCGGCATCCTTGTTAGCTAGTAGTCCCTTTCTGTCCTCTACGTAGAACTTGACAAGAGCTGCAAATAGAAGGCGAGTCTTCCACCGAGGCATACATACATCGGCACTGGCGATTTAGAGGCCACATCGATGAAAAATGACTTGATCGCAGTCGGGCTTGCCTTCAATGCACTCGCATAGTAGCTTGGCGCTATAACGAGTACAAATTCGGCACCAGCAGCCTCCGCATCCTTCGCAAGACTAATAGTCTCTCGAGTGCTTGTCGCACCTACCCCGGCTACAATTGGCGTCTGATGCAGGCCATTTTCATCAAGCGCGGACCGCACAGCCCGTATCAGTTGTATTCGCTCCTGGCGATCCTATAGTTATAGTCAGGAAGCTTTGATCCGCCCAACCTGCAGGAATATACACAAACTAAATGTGTGGCCTCTCCCATTGTAGCGGAGACAACGGGAATAACTCCCGGTTTAGCGACATCTATCTTTGCTAGGTTAACATAAAAGATATTCTTAACTAGTCCACATATATTGGCAAGAGAGAATTATCTCTTACATATAGCGTGCTCCATGTAGGCTTTGAGGTCTAGCTGAGGGTTAGCGAAACTCCTAAACTCTGAATTACTATTAAATTTCAGTGTGCTTGCCTAACTCATCCCCATCGCTGAAAAATACTGGTAGAGGAGCGTAAACTCCCGGTGGAAGAGATTTTGCCATGGTATGTTGAAATTGTTTGGAATCGTACTTTAACAAGAAAGGAATTGACTTCTAGACTTTAGTTTGCGCAGCGTTACGATGGTAGTTGCAACTTAGGTATTTATAGAAGTACGATTGTATTATAGGCTAAATGAAGCAGGAAGATTCTCTACATATGCCGTGAGTTTGAATGCAAACGCCACCTCCGGATGATCCGAGGCCTTAAACCCCCGCTTTGAGACCACCCCTTGAACTCCGCTCATCTGCTTACAAATTCAAGGGAACAGTGCGAGAGAACTAAGTTAGTGAGTATAGAGTGGATTGAAGGAAATTAAGCGAGAATTGCGAAATTCTTTTAGGGCGTTGTACATGATGATGGACTAGTTGATCTATTGCTATTTTTCATCAGACATACTTCCCATCCTTATAATGGGCCAGAATACCTGAGCACTCTGACGTGAAATGGTAGGGTTACGGCGGGAAATTACGAACGGGGCCAACACCCTCACAAACCCCTGAGCATGCTGAAAATGGTATTCTTAGTCGAGCGAGTTTTCGGGGTAGCCGGCGGCGTTGTTTCCTAAGCGCTTCCAGCATCTTCGAGGATTTGGGATCCTTGTCATACGCAATCGATAACAGTTTATCGAGGGACTTTGGTGCACCCTCATTCTCCTGGCTAGGGGTGTTCTGGTTTAGAGCAATGGGATTCATTCCAAGAGACATATTGTGGGACTTCAATTTCTGAGGCCAGATTCGCGTATTTGTGGCCTCGGCCTATCCTCATGTCTCTGCTCTGGTTTCTCTCCAGGGTTTAAGCAGGATGACAACGTTAATCTTGGGGCGCTCATTTCCGGGAGGAGCTACTCAGCATGGTTTAGAATGCAATGGAAGCCTACGTGTTTGAGGACTGTCCACAACATAGTTCACATAGGAGGAGATCGACCATGACGGTGTAAACGTGAATGAGGCAAGGCAACATGCAGTTACGTCCTAACTCTTTATTCATCTGTAGACCGCTGTAATGACAATTCTATCTCATCAATATACCGCATAAAGTGTGGTGTCATCTCGGCACGGCGCCTTAGCCGCCTCACAAACCTTCCGTCCCCGAATTTTGTCCCTTAAACTCCAACCGCTCTAACTTGCCACCGCCAGTGTCGAGACAGCCTCTAAGCGGCCTAGATTCGTCCTAGAGCGATCGAGCTAAGACCAGCGAATGACGTACGGTAGAGCGAGCTCTCAAGAATCGTACGTGCCAGGTTACGCTGTTCCGGTGAGGGACTGTACAAAGCCACGACAGTCAAAGGTAGGAACATCCGAACAGTTAGGCAGCTTATGCTTTTTCTCATGATAAACGAAGAGCAGTCAAGGATTCTCTAACCATTTGTCGTCCCAGGGGAATCCGACTCCGAATATTCCACGGGTGGCAAGCGGATTGTCGAGAGGAGTGTCCAAGCAGCCGAAAAGTACGCCACTGTTAGAGCATTAAACACATTGCAGTATTGGAGAGTAGTTCTCGATAAACCCAACTCGTTGGGTTGCCTCTATTCGGTATTCGTCCCACAGATTATCAATTCTTCTGCTGATTGTGTGGTAACAGGCAAAGGTAAATGCTTACATGTAGTCTATAATTGAAACTCTCAACCACAATATCACTCTCACGTGACGAGGTTACTACTCGCCGACTTTCATTCCAGCTTGGGGATTCAGAACTATTGACTGATATAGGAGCACTCGTTATAAGTAGCGTAAACCCTATATCTTCTGCTTGTATTTCCGCTGAAGTACCGAATTATCGTTCTGGCTGTGGTATTAGTACCGATAGGTATTAGATTACCTGCAGTATAATTTAGGTCAGCACAATCTATTGTGTTGGGGGAAAAACGAACAACACCACGGCTGTTAGCGAACTTGAAATGTAGACTGCCAACCACACCAAAATCTAACAACCTTCCACAACAGCTATGAAAAGGAGGTTTTGAGTTTTGTGTGTATTCTCATTTGATCAAATGGTTCACGTTTACAGCTAGTCAATTGACCTATCGTAGCCGCCGTAACGTAGCTGAAAGACGCATCTTTCATAAGAAGGAGTTTTCAAAAGTGAAAATAATAATAGGTGAAAAGGATGTCTTTTTCTACGGATACTGAAAAATAGCTAATTTATCTAACCCGGCCAAATTGACAAGTGGGCCCCGACTCACTATACAGGACATACAGTAGATATTTTAATTCGAAACCCGTTATCTCGCCATTCAATACAGCAGCAGCGATGAACCGTCTATCGTAATGGCCCAGCCGGCTAATCCGATATCAGAGGCACACTTCCTGTCCGACGCTACCTTCGCTGATGATAAGATAACACGAAGGTTGTCGCAAGGCTTCCTTATCATCCTCTTGGGAGAAACCCGTGTTATAGAAAGCCAGCAAGCAGTTAACCGTATTAACCTTAATAACCGAGGCAGAGCTACTTACTCTAACCCGTCGGAATAATACTACGACCTTACAGATCGCTAGTAGTACTACAGCAGCGCAGGAGTATTTCTGAGAAGTACTTTATAAGGAGGAGCGGACCGAGCATATTAACACAGGAGCTATCCAGGCCGAGGTTGGTATCTACTTACCGCAGGCTCTTATCTGGGTACAGAACGCCGGGTGTATTATATATACTTGATATAGATAGTATATATCCGGTAGGAATACTTCTGTTACTTACTATACAGCAGCTGTAATACTATATCGTTAGTTATATTATAGTAAACTCTTTAGATAGCTATTAAGATCCTTAGTAGATATATACTTCAGATTATATAAGATAGAGGATTTTATCTTAGATAGCTTCTGTTGCTTTAATACCAGTATTAGTAGTAATATATTCTTCAGCAGATAGTAGGTAACTATAAAACTAAAGCTATAGCTTAACAGGCAGACTATAATCTATAGGAGTAATATTTTAATAACTTATCTTAAATAAAAAAAAAAGACCTATTAATTAACCTTATTATAGTATTAACTAGCTTATTATAAGATAACTTTCTTTAATTTTCTATAACTTTATATTATTATCTTAATAAAGCGGTATAAGAAAGTATATCCAGCTAAGTATAAATACTAATACCTATAGTTTATATCTAACCTTAATTATAGAATATAGCTAGCCCCTCTCTACTTAATTTTTTTTTTTTTTTTTTCTTCTATTAAATAATTATTTAAAGAATATCTATAATATATATAGTAAGGTTTAACTTTTACCTATTCTAAACTAGTCTATTTTTAGGCTTATATAGCGCAGGTACAGTATATAGCTCGCCCCTGGAGGTACTCTGGACCCTGAGTATTAATAGCTATATTAATACCTGAGACTATAAAAGTAGATAATTACCCGCTTCTACCTCTTATAATATAACCCTTCAGAATTAACTTAAAAGTACTTTATTCCTTACTAGCCTATATATAACCCTTGAGAAGTATAATAAGAGTTATACTCTACTTATATAGCTAAGATTATTAGCAGTAAAGCTAATATATAAAGTAATAGATAAGACTGATTATTAATATATCTTATAATTAGATTGATTATACCGGGCAGAACTTACCAGATCTAGGCTAACTACTAGTAACTTTAAAAAGATCAGAATATACTAAAGGCGGTTTTCTTAATAACTTACTATCTGTAATACTAGTAAATAAAGGAGAAGTTTTCTCTATATACTAAAGCCTATTTAAGAATAATATTATATATATATACTATTAGTATACCTGGTCCTATAGTAATAATAAACCTAATATAGAATTATAATATAGTAGCTATTAATATATTTATTAAGTAAATCTATATAATAATTAGTACTTTAATATAGATCCTCTCTTTTACAGGATAGATATATCTATATATTTTGAAAGATCAAGGCCTCCAGTATAGGGTAGACCAGCTGTAGGGTAAGCTGGGTCTAGGGTAGGTACAGCCTATAGGGTAGGCTAAGGAATACTGAAGGGATCGTTTCGAAAAGCGTAGTGGAAGAAGCAGCCTACTTAGTAAGAAAGAGAGGCTTTATCAGCTACAGGGTAGCTAAGAAAGATGGACTGTAGGGTAGATAAAAGAGTGAATTGTTAGCTTGAAGAACCTCTATCTAGCAGGGAGAAAGCCCTGTACTTATAGGTGTTTCAGGGCTCTAAGAGCCCTGAAGATAATACGTTACCTTCTGTAATACAGGCTCGTAACTGCTATAAGGTTCTCGTACAGCGGATACGAGGTCCGCTAATACAAGCGTTACAGCGGACACGAAGTCCGCTAATACAGCTGCTACAGTGGTTACGAGGTTCACTAACTAAGTACTAAGGTTCTCGTACAGCGGACACGAGGACCGCTAATGCAAGCGCTACAGCGGACACGAGGACCGCTAATACAAGCGCTACAGCGGACACGAGGACCGCTAATGCAAGCGCTACAGCGGACACGAGGACCGCTAATGCAAGCGCTACAGCAGACACGAGGACCGCTAATATAGCTGCTACAGCGCAATACGAGATCGCTAAGTACGGTCGCCACAGCGGCCATTACAGCGGTTGCAACCGCTAACGCAATTACCCCAACGGGCAGCCACAGCGGGTTAGGCCGGTGGCTTCAGCGGGCTTCCAGCTTTAGAAAGCCCTAAGTTAGTTATTTCATTCCTCCTTACCCTATACCAATCTGAGATCATTTAATCAACTGATATAGGGTAATCTGATCTACCCTATAGTCTATAGGGTAAATCTCAATAATATATACCTCCTATTAGATCTGTATAGCTTCTTATAATATATATTATCTAAGCAGAGAAAGTTAAGTACTTTATAATAGTATATTCTAAGAATATTATACTTACTAATATTATAATAAAGGCTATAAGGAGTACTTATACAGTATAGGTTTAATATAAAAAGCCTAAAGTTAGCTTTATAATAGGAATTACTATATATACAGCTTAGAGTATAGTATATAGTATTTTCTAGATATATATCTAAGTTATACTTACAGTATATAT